TAGACTAAATTTCGCTTTATTACGTTTTGATTGCTCACGGCATGATTAACTTTGGTGTCGTTAAATTCGGATAATATCATCGTCTAGTCAATTTTGTTTATTGCTCTAAAAAAATAAGCATTCCATTTAATGAGTTTTTTAAGTTTTTACATGGTTCAATAATATATCTGTGTGACTATATATTATTGAACCATGTACTCATACATGGTTCAATAATGAATACATAAAAAGTATTTTTAGTTATTTTTATAAATTCCAATATTAATTAACATTTATTTTATCAAAGTATTTTTAATGCTTACTTATAAATGGAGTCTATGGAGAAATTAGTTTCCACATTCAAAACATCTTACATGATTTGAAGGGCGAATTCCCGCCATTATCACACGTTCAATATAAATTACTTTCTAACTTTTTATGTCCTTACAAATCTTGGTAATCATTGATTACATCCAATTTAAGTATATTTAAAATGCTATATAGATTAATGATTCGTACTATTTCAGCGATGGTGTTTAATATATGAAAAGAAAGGACGAGTTGTTATTCTTAACTATGTTTTATAAGTTATTCTATTCTGTTATTGTAACTCACGAACAGTAAAATCGATTAGTCGTACGCTATCGTCTATAATCAAGAAAATCTGATATGAAATCCATTAAGCTCCCTACAAAGTCGAGATATAGAAAACCTATTACATTTTATTACCACAAGCAGAGCGGGACGAATCCTTAATTAAAAATAACATAATATCCTTAAAGTTACTCTCCCGAAATGGATATATTCAAAATAGAATAAGACTTTAACGAGATAGGGATTATTATCATTTTTTATTCCTAATGATCTCGGCTCATCAGAATTTTTGAGATAATTTCTTTAATGGGGACTGGTTTATATCTGAGATCGCTTTTTATGCTCTAGAAAAACTCACGTTAAAACTGTTTTCAATCTAGGTACATGTTATAAGATAAACCAAGAAGTTTCTTAATTATGTTATAATATTTCGCCTCCGTGGTTGTACATTCGAAGCATGAAGTCGAGTCACAACGAAATAACATTGGTTTCTGGTGAGCACGGCTCCTGGCACTCCTTCAAATACCTACTTGCCAAAACAATTGTCAACGAGCTGATCTAATTGATACTGTTATCTGTGTTTACCTGTCAATATTGTGTCAATTACACGTTGACAAGTTAATGTGTAAATATCACGGACACAAAAATTGCGAAATAAAACAAACGTAAAATTAGAACTGTCTTTTATTAACACTTAAGTAAGAAATAAATCCAGTTAGAATTTTTTAATTTATTCCATTTAAATTCGAAGATAAGCTATTTAGCTAAAGCTGGGCTAAGACTAGCTTATAGTACTTTATAATTCCCGGTAGTTGGCAAGAAAAAGTCGGTATTCCCTGCTTTAATTAATAACAGTCACACGCGCGAATTAATCGCGTATAATCTTGCCAATGACATTTGAACTGTCACTGTCAACGTCATTTGGATTTCCTCAGCTAAAGGTTTAAAGTTAAAGCTATTGCACGCCTCGGCAGTGCTCTACTCTCGACATGTCAAAAAACCCAGTCTTTCGAAACTTGAATGACTTTTTTCTCACTAATATAACACTTACAGGATAATATGAGTGCACTAAAATGGAGTTAAATAATCTATCAAGCATATATGGTATTTTTTATGAACAATTATTTTGTTTAACATAGTAAATAATAACATTAAAATCAATCATTCTTGGACGTCCGTCAGTCTGTGTTTATGGATCCATGTATGTGGCAGAGAAATTGGTCGAAAAATGTATCGTACCAGAATACTTTTTTTCTTATTATATAAAGTTATACCCTGGGCTGATTCCTAGTTAATATTAGCGTTCCTTAGAACGCAGAACGCTTAGCACTTATGCTGTCGTTTAATTATAATTTGTAAAAAACTAAAATACGACTCTGTATTTGCATATCTATATATATACATTTTTTAGTATATTTTTTCCTCACCTTAGAGTTATGGCGCCACTATATATTTTATTATTATAGTATTGTTTTTTTTCAATCATTCATGTTCATTTTTTTTTATATTTTTTTATTTTGTTTTAAAAAACTTGATTTTTGTTTTAGATTTTTTTTAAATGTGAATGACCGCTATGAGGCGTGCACTTTTGGATTTTCCAAACTTTTAGTAGTTTACATTACTTTTATTCAATTATGTACTTTAATTTAGTAGAGGTACAATATATAAGGGAGAAATAGTTATTACTGCAAGATATTAATTTTATTAAATACATATTTCAAATAATGGTATTATAAAAAGTTTACAATAATTCATCATAATCTAATCTAATACAAATGCAAAATCATACAACCTTTTTCCTTTCAAATTTGAAATTAGTTTACCTGCTTGGTTAATTGTTCAACAACCCCTAAAAATACCACCCCACTCTATTTCAAACACAACCTTTTTGTTCATGTGAAAACCATAACCATTACTTTAAACTCTATTGCTTAGACATAAGGTTCAAAATCATCGTGCACCTGAAATAGGATTTGAGATAAAATTGGTTTTATACGCTGTGTAGGTGACGAACAAGTGTATAAGCAAAAAATAAACGATTAGGGGTGATTTATACATGGCTTTTATTTTTCACCCTCGTTGCATCACGTAACTGAAATTCCCACAGTCGAGGGATCAGGTGCAGAGATTTGATTACAGAGTTCCTTAGAAGTAAATCTCCTATTAGATGTTTTGTGTGATTACAGTTTGATTTTTATAAAATAAATTATGAATTTAACAAATTAGGTAACAAACATAAGTGGAAAATATGAACAAAAAGACTTTTAGGACACAAATTTTTGGCTAGTGCTACCTTAACGAATCGTATCTGTAAATTCAGACTATAATATACAGTAGGCACTAAGTAAAAAATAGAATAATATCTTCTATTAAATGTTTTATGTGATTACAGTTTGACTGAAATAAAATAAATTATCACTTTTAGGTAATTCACAAATTAGATATAAACATAGTTGAAAAATATGAACTGAAAGACTGTTAGGACACACATTTAGTGCTGACGTAACGAATCGAATTCATAAATTCCGACTATAATAATATTTTACATAATTTTATAAAATTATACTCTTTTAAACATTCAATATAAAATCATTAGGGTCGATCCCGATTTCTAACCCATAAAAATTAATATCACAGAATACAATAACTGTCGTTCCCCTATATAAATCGTAACAAGTGGAATCGCAAACAAAGCTTATAATAGGGGAGAATTGCCCACTAACCCTGCCCTCGGCGTAGGCAAACCCAGACACTTGTCATCCCGAGGGGTACAATATGTCACTTTGAAATGACGCAAGGTACACCATATCTTAGCAAACCATTGTTATAAACTTTTTATATCTTCTTCACATGGGAACTGGACTCGAGGAACCCATGAAAATGATTAACCGTGTCTGAAATGAAAAAAATATTACTGCTATTGAAACCCACATTTCATCATCAATAACAATCAGCCATTTGAGACATAGGATCTTTTAGATATCGATACATACAGGTAATATGAAATCCCTCATATCTCTAACAATTCTATGGTAATTATCAGATCTCATCTTACACACGATTGCCCATAATTTGCGTAATTAACAAAAATACCCCAATCATCACTAATAACTTCAAAATGGCCCTAATAGATATTTAATTATAACCTTGGTCGAATCCCACTGACCCCTTTTACACTTGTTTACATCTTCATCCCCTCAACCCTCAACGCGCTGATGCATCTAAATGGAATGTTTAATTCCAATACCCATACGATTTAATATAAAAAAGCAGAACGCGATCGAACGCTTGCCATCTGTCGTCGTTCCGAATCTCGAATTGCCGAAAAAAAGCTCAATGTGCGAGCAACCCTGGGAACCTAGAAGCGGAGAGTATTCCCACGAACAACCCCTCAATTTTCAATAACCAAATTAGCCTTTGCGTTACCCTATTTCGGATATGAAGGAGTCGTGAATCTATTCATATCGATAAAAAATATACGCGGTCCTGCTTTAACTACCTGAATTTTTATATATTGGTCCCCTTCGAATGCACGTGTTCAAAGATCGTATATTTAAACTGGTATCGTATGTGTGCAAGTTTCGATCACAGCACCTGCCGTCTCTCGCGCACCCCATTGGCTCGGCGATATCACCGCTACACTGATTTCTTTTAGACTTAATTTTTTTGGATACTCTTCGGACATCAAAAAAATCTAACATGTTTGGACTCGAATGAGTTGAAATTTTTGTGTAGGTGGTATTCTATCTTCATGCTTTCTTTTTATAAACAGTATGATAATGAATCCAAAATTGAACCGCTATAAATCTTATGATGTTTGATAATGGTAATACGAATAAACCATAAATCTAGTATCTTGAAAAAATAATACAAAATTTGCAAACCTTTTATATCTAATAAGGTCATCTGACCTTTTATGAATAAGGTAGGGTGCATTTCACATTGCACGCTCAAGTGCACCCTAAACAGAGGGGTCGATCCGACCCCGTGCGACTTGTTGACCCCTCTATAATAATCCTATTGTCAACCACGAGCGGGTTAATGATGAACATGTGCTGTTTGCTCACGGCTCGTGGTCAACGCGTGACTATCAATGATGTGGTTATCATTGAAAGGAATCTCTTATTAGACACAAGTGTAAGGCAAATATTTGACGTTTTTAATCTATTGTACTTTTACATAAGTAGGTATTAAAAGTAAAGCTGGAAGTAACGAACATAAAAAGCAAACGCTGAAAATCCTACTTTTAAACACAACATATTTGCAATTCAAAAAGTTTTGTTAAAACAATATACGTACTACGCCGTAGCACTAAATAGTACTAACAGTTACAATTGTAGCATACCGTAGAGCTAACTGTAACTATAGGAAGACGTAACAATGTCACTCTACCTCAATCCAGATAACAATACACAAACCATAATGATATGGCGTTTCATGTTTACGAAAAACATAATAGTCGAATATCACCCACACACGCGAGGGAGTTTTTCACATACACACAGCTTTTGTGTTGGGGGCGGCCCGGTGAGTATAAATGCGACGCGCGGCCGATCAGCCCCACATTCCCGCTCGTTTACTCACTTGCAACACACGCTCTCACAACTTCTAAAATGTCTCTATACGCGAACAACGAATACATCATCTCAACAAACAACTCGATCAACGAGAACAAATATAACAGTGAAAAAATGAAGAACAGTGGCTTCAAAGCGCTATTAAAGCCTTTAATGAGAATCATCAAGAAAACAACGAAGCGATCTCCCGCCAAAATGATTGACACGTGCATCGAGGCTGAGCAAAACTCGTGCAACGAAGCGCTCGAACGCAAGATCTTCAATGACATGGAAGCTTGCCAGTCCGCCGCCTTCCTTGTCTGCAACAAGGACGAGTCCTACGACCTTGTGCCAGTTTCTCGTGAAGACTTCTACATCCCTGTGCACTTTGCCCGCACTGACGCCGGTACCTTCTTTTGGACCACAGTATCCAAATCGGAAACTGACTTCGCAGCGGCCCACTATTACACCGAGTGCCAAACCGCCGAACAGCAGTACCCAGTCATGCAAGACCGTTGGGTTCAAGCTTAATAATCTTCCAAAACAACAATCCAAGTGTCTTCCGAAACCAGTGCCTGCTGCTGTTTCAAAATCGTCTGTGATCTTAGCTTTAATATAATTCTATGGTGCCATATAGAATTTAGGTTTAGGTATGGGCTTCCAGCGCGTGATAACTCCATAAAGCTTTAATTACACTGTGTTGTGATATTTTATTGTATAAAGTAATGTAGGATCTGTATGTGATCATGCTTTTAAGCTTTAATTGTCTAATGTGTTAACTTATTTATACTGTATACAAATTTTGAAGGTTAAAATAAAAATGATATGAAAATTATTACTTTCTTTCCTTTCTCCACCTTTAATAAGAACAAATGCTTCCTACAAAGACGTAAAGAATATTAAAGTAGATACTAACAAGAATAACCAGTCGAGTTAACGTTAAGTAAGAAATATTAGTTTCAAAGTAGTCAGACAAGTTTGGCTCGGGCTGTGGCGGGAAGTTGGCTCGAGCCACAGATAACATAGGTATACAATCTATATTGTAAACTCTATAGTAGCACGTGCAGTGGACCAGCTACTGGATTCTTAATGGTCATTTTTTATACTGTCTGTTTCTTTTTGTTAACATTAATCTTGATAGGTATTTCTGATTGACGAGAGATGATTAGATATTTAATAGCTTGTAGAGAATTCAATCTTCAATATTCTTTTTGTACTGAGACAAAATTATTAACTTTGATTCTTTATCTCTTGTATGGCGTATTTAAATGATTGATTTTTATCTACAGAGCCTTAATTTAACTACAAAAATTATGTATTACAAATTCTTTTCAAATTTACTTTTTCTATTGAGTTAAAAAAATTCTAGATATTATAAAATAAAGGTACTATTTGTACATTATATTTAAACCTATTTTGTAAAGATTTAATTTATTTGAAGAATGTACAGCAGATAAAACCAGTAAAAAAATTATCTAAATTAAATTTGGTGAATGTAAGTTCAATTATTAGGAAACATATTTACTTAGTCAATGATTTAGTTTTCAAACAAAAAGCTGTATGTAAAGCTGATTGTTTGAACTTAAAGCAAATTATGGAGAAATCTTTGCAGCTCTATTGTTGTTATTAGTTCACGGTAAATGAGGCAAAGTCTTTAGACGGCGAAGGCATTTTTTAGGTCTTTGCCTAATAACAAGTGCGAACTTACCCCAACTATCTAATTCTCGCCCACCTACAAACATCTACATCTCATGCCTAATCTCGTGCCTAATGTCCCAATAACTAAAACATTTTACAATAAAACCTGTAAAATAATGGATAAAAAACACAGTAGCAGTAATTAATTACTTTCATGCGAGTAATTTATAAAAACGAATCCCATCATTCACGATAAAATTGCGATGCAAATTGTGCAACCTTAAAAAGCAAGTCCTGACTTGTCCCAACCTGTCGATGGTTTTATATAGAAAAACGTGCGCAAACAATTCTGTTATTTTACTATACAATAGTACTATTAACAATATCGTGCACGTGCATTTTCAATGAAATCCCGTGAAATACATGTAAAAATAGACCACAGTTGGCAGCGCAGCGTGCTACGTAGTGTTTTACTAAGTAGTAATTGTCACTTTTCTATGCATAGACCATTGAATCGTACATTTGTAATTCATAGTGAGACTATGAATTGACGTTGACAAAAGTTCACATTTAGTAGTTTTATAATTGATTAGGTACTAAAAATATGTTTTATCTACATTATAATTAAATAAATGCAATGCAATCATGCAGAAATCCTTACTTTTCCGATAAAAAACAAGTTTCACAATTTCGTGTGAACCAATTACGAGGCGAGAAATTCTAAATTGACAAACAAATTTGCATATGTCCTATGCCACGATATCAGAACCTGATATGTTAATTGTGAGCTATTGATTAAAAAGCCGTCGAGTGATACCGCTAGGCGCCCAGTTGTCATAATCAGGCGCAAGTAATACGTAGGTAGGACCGGTATAAATACAAGACCAAGATCCGTGAGAATTTCGGGCAGATGTACAATTCCTTGACGGTGTTTTTTTCTTCGACTTTCATAATACGAATTCGACGTTTCGAGTCGTGACTCATCGATGCATTGTGATTTAACCCATGCACGTGTTCAGTTGGACTCTCGGGTTAGAAAGGATTTTTTGCAACCCTTATTTAAAATTCCGCAACTCTTGCGAAATTTGGGTTAATTTTTTTTACAATTTCGAATGCACGTGTGGCATTGTTAAGAATGCAAATCTTGCGCGTGTACAGAATTTCGAGGATATTTAATAGTATATATTATATTAATTGTTGCCACAATAATTATCTATAGAACTGACAATTTAATTTGAACTGTTAAAAGATATGTACACAGAAATAAACGAACAATACAGCGAGGAAATGCTGCTAGCGTTAAAGATACACTCTACCACAGGGACCAAACTTCTTTTAAATATGTTTTAATTTTCTTTTTATTATTTTTGAAGTTATACTTCTTTAGGCGCGTTATGAAAAATTGATGAGAGGGAAATTTTACGATGCGCGCGCACCTGAGACACAAAGTTGTCAGTGTGATTATAGCGTGCGCGAGCGAGATGGGAATAAGACAATTTACAAGTAAAAAGAAATAGAATATACGTGAAGTTAGCAGCTATGCCAAGAATTTTGAATGACCATAATGACATTTATCTTTTAAACAAATAAAGGAGTTTTAATTTTTTTTTTTTAAAGAAATTTAGCAATGCTTTTTCACAAAGACCTATTGTTACTTAGTTAAAAGGTTATGAAACATACCAAGTTATTAAATTGAATGAATAATATAATAAAATAATAAATAATAATAATAATTGTTATTAATATTAATTAATAATTGAATAATATACTAAATATGAAATATTATTAAATTGTTTACGTTAAATATTAATTATTAATTAATTATATTTAAAAAAATTAAGAAACTATTAGGTTAAGAAAATTGTAAATACTGTATATTTATTTGTTATTTTTAGTTACATTAAGAAATAATTTACAAATAATAGTGATAAAGACTATCTGTGTAAAATGTGTACTAATTACAGTTAAAATGGAGTAATCAATCTCGTTTTTCAGCCGGTTTGGTTTGAAGTATAATTACGATTATCTTTATAAAAAGCAAATAATCCAGCTAAAGCAATAAGTAACTAATAGAGCTAATAATTAATTACAATTTGCTTTTTATCAGTTACGAAGCCTTTTAGTGATATCACAAATGGAGATTCAATTAATTAGAGTAAGTCCAGACCATATCGAGTGTCTTGTTCGTGAATAGTTTTTTCCCATTAAATGTATTTTTCGTAATTATAGATATGATTATTTAAAAAAAAATACAAAACACATGTCTTATTTGACGTTAATAAAAATGTTACATTAAAATTATTTCCACTGTAATCACAGCATGGGCTAACATCCAGAAGAAAAATTAACAGTAGGAATTTTTCAATAGTACTTTTCGTTTAAAGTTTTTTTTGTAGGCATCTACACACAATAATATAAATTTCTATCGTATTTCAAATCATACTTCTGAAGTATTTGTGATCCAATTCGATTTAGGGTCCTTCAAGAAAATTGTGTACCAATTCTTAAAGACCGGCAACGCACTTGTGAGCCTTTTGGAAATGTGAGTATCCATGGGCGGTTCTTAACATCAGGTAAGCCTCCTGCCCGTTTGCCCCCTGTTCTATAAAACAACGGCCAATAGAAAAATATCGACGAATTAGATAGGCCATATCTAAGCTATGATTATAATACTATATCAAAGTAGGTACACCCATAAGGTCGTTGATGAATAGTTCATCTACGTTCAATACACCTGAATAATGTAAGAGTGAGATCATCTTATGTTTGTTCAGATGTTACCAGTTACCACTGATACACTTTGAGCATGCGTCAGCGCACTTATTATTTCTTAAGGGTTTGTTATTTAAATTATTTATTTTTGGATAAGCGCTTGTTTTATAGTTTATGTGACACCGAATTAATTGTTTTGTGAAGTAAATTTATTAGTAACACTTGTACTCTAATTGCGCCTAGCTTAAAATATTTGATTGTAGCAATAAATAATTAGATAGTAACTATAGGTAGCAACTCACAGGACTATACTCTCAATTAATACTAATACAAATTAAAAGTAAATACAAAGAGTATTAATTTTTATAAAATTTGTTTCATACATAATCTATCTATAATATGTATAACTGGTTTAATATGTATATAACATGCAAAATGCATAATATGCATATTTAAATTCAATTCCCGTTCCTCTTAAGTATCGCTTTCCAATCAAAATAAACAAAATGTTAACTAAAAGTAAAGATCAGCATGCAACACTTCCACCGCGTTAATTTAAAATGCTATTTCCAAATATATATACAGTTGCATACTCCTTAATAAGAACAAATAAAACGATGACTCAGAAATATAGCAAACAATGAGATTACACAACTGATAATAATAAATTGAATGAACTCAATAACAGTATTTAGTGCAAATAAAAGAATTAGTCACATTTAAAACCATCAATTTTAATGCATGCTTCGTATTATTCAAAACTATTGCAAACGAAATCTGTTCTCTGAGTCGTCCTTTAAGTAATCTTTGTAGATTAATCATTATTATACAGCTATAAAAAAACTAAAGATACAACTATGCGTTGGTAAATTATTCCCAATTTTCAAAAGGATCGTCAGAATTACTGGAAACTAAAAATTTTTAGTTTGTTTAATATGAGATTATTTAATAAAATCTTAATATTAGAAACTCATTTTCGTTTTAGTCTTTGAATTATTTTGTTCCATACTTGTCAAGTCTGTTTCATGTTGCCTATCTTATTAGGGCAGTAATCATTTAAACAACTTAATTTAGACTTTACCAGATATTTGACATTTAATCATTAAATCTCTGCTGATCTTTTCAGAAACGGGACATAATAATTATAGGCATTAGGAATTCAAATTGGTTTACCAACTTCA